CCCATAATTTTTTTTAATACATGAAAGTTCTTTTGAGTTCTAGCCATAATGGAAGTGAAGTTATTGGTACTGTATTTGTTCTTTGGCTATACTTAATGAGCAAACTGGACAAAATACAGGGTGGGGTTCTGGTTGGTTTTCCAAGTGGTTGGAGCATCAGCGGGCAGACCTAAAGGTTTTGGATTTGATTCCCTGTCAAGGTATTATACCTCAGTTGCATTCGATTTCCAGTCAAGGGTATATACCCCGGTTCGGGTTGGGGCACATGTGGGAGGCAACCAATTTATTTGTCTGTCTCACAGTCAAGGTCTCTCTCTTTCCCCTTTCTCTCTTCCTTCTACTCTCTCTAAAAAATTAATGAAGGAAAAAAAATCCTTGGGTGAGGACTAAATAAAAAAACACAGAGTGGGGCAAAAGTAGGAGTCTAGTTGTTTGTATGGAAAATAATACAGTAATTAATAAATAGTAATATAAGAAAAACACTTTTGCTTACAACTGTAAGTCTACTTTTGCCCCATCTTTTATATGAGACAGTCACTGTTTTCAGAAAATGGACACAGTGGGTGTAAGGCAGCAAAGGGCAGAGGTTCAGTGATTCCTGAGGACAGAGAAACAGATGAAGTGACTCTGATTACCCTTGTTTTCTGCCTGAAGGCATTTTATGATCTCTGATGCAGGCATAGAAAGCTAAGTAGAACACAGTGGCCTCAATTGAGACAGAGGTTAGATTTGGGAGGCTGAAATAGCTGGAATTAGTAGATCATAGTACTGAAATTGAGGGATCTTCATATGCAACTAAAAAGCACCAGAAATCTTCCTGTGGTCCCCTTGAGATACTTTGTGAGTACTAAGCTATGCGTGTGTACATGAAACTCCACAAGGACAAAGAAATACCGGTAGTAGGAAGCCATAATCTGAATAATTTCCAGCACTCGTACACAATTTGGAGATGTTTGAGTTCTGAGTAAGCAGAGTGAAAGACTTTGTTGAAGATTTGGAATGTTCAGTAGAGACCCCAGAAAACTCACTCTTCAAGAGTGAATTAGCACTAGTCAGTGGCTCCTCTATCTATACCTCTAACAGGTCTTAAAAGCAAGCTTAAAAGAAGTTGAAAAGCAAGTAATTTAACAGCATCAGGGATTGGAGAATTACAGCCTATGGACCAAATTCAGCCCATTGACTGTTTTGTAAACAGTTTTATTGGAATACACATCCATTCATGTATGTATCATTTATGGCTGCTTTCATGCTATTATTGGCAAAGTTGAGTATTTATTAAGGTTCTATGTGGCCCAAAAAACCTAAAATATTTACTCTCTGCCTGCCTACAGGAAAAGTTTACCATCCTCTGGTCTAAAGGAATCGGATTTTAGACAAGGATAAGCTCTTCCTAGGTCAACAAACACCAGTGGAGAAATCTGGCATAACTTAATGTATTTCTCCCAATATAATTCTTGGGCTATTTTCTGCAACTGGATCTCCTTTTTTGATTTTTTTTTTTATCATAGTTAATTTATTGTTATAAGTGAGCTAAAAATTTATGTTAAAGGCATAATTTATACCAGCCCCTGTTTAAGTCTTGGTAATGTAGGATGTGATATTACAAAGTTCTGTCTTATTCTGGTGAACTATACTTCAGGGGCAAAACAGGGGTGTAGGTTCATGATATTCACAAGAAGATAATATCAAGAGAAATTATACTCAAAACAACTTGATTTAAACAGCTTGTGCTTGATTTCTTGACCAAGTTAATTGGTGACTGCAAACAAGTAAGAATGGCAATTGAAGGCATAGGCTGTTGTTCTGGGGACTGATTAGTCTCACTGCCCACGTGGTCTCCACTCACAGATGTCTTCGCTCTCATCTTCACTGGAGGAGGAGCCCTTCCTCATGGTCAGCATGTGGTGGTCTGTTACAGCCCCCGGAGAGATGCAGGCGATCAGTGTCAGCACTCTTATATGCTAACTAGAGGTCCGGTGCATGAAATTTGTGCTTGGGGAGGAGTAAGGAGGCTTGGGGGAGGGGGAGTCCCTCAGCCTGGCCTGCCCCTTCTCACAGTCTGGGAGCCCACAGGGGATGTCCTACTGACAGTGGAGAAGCTTGTTTACCACTTTTAATTATAGCAAATGTATTTCATTTACTCCTATTCAAATGTACGACAATCCATTTCATATACCACAAAGCTCCAGTATTAGTTTATTTAAATTTAATATGATATTGCTATTTTTCTTTGTTAGTGTAATTTTTATGTATGAACATAAAAATGAATTTTCTAAACTTAATTTGAATATCAGAATATCTTTACTAGGAGTACAATAACATGAACTCCATGAAAATATGTCTTTATTATAATTTACTATAATGTATTTTACCATTTTAGCTAATCATCAGTTTCATAGCCAAGCAAAAGTGCATGTTGTAGGGAAATTTTCCAACTGGAACAAAACTTAACTGAAAGACTGTCTAAGATCATTTTTGATCTCTCCATGCTTACTACACCATACTTCTACAAGTCCTATCAACTTATTAGTTGCATTCCAATAGTTTCCTTATTTCCTCTCTGAACCACTTTAACGCTTTCTCTACCTGGTTGCCAGAGTGCTCAGGAAAAAAATGTTTTTGTTATGATCTTGCTAATAACGTTATTTTTGCATAAAATCCAACACTTTACCCTCACCTATGCAACCACTGCATGATCTGGCTCTTGCCTTCCTCACTGATCTCATGATTGGCAGTTAGTGTTATTAAATATTATTTGTGAATAGGTATTTTTAATAGGCATTCTCTTATTTTGTCTCTAATTATAAAAATTGGATTTAAGAGTGTCAATTTAGCCCTGACAGGTTTGGATCAGTGGATAGAGCATTGGCCTGTGGACTCAGGGGTCCCAGGTTTGATTCTGGTCAAGGGCATGTACCTTGGTTGCAGGCATATCCTTGGTGGGAGGTGTGCAGGAGGCAGTTGATCGATGTTTCTTTCTCATGGATGTTTCTAACTCTCTGTCCCTCTCCCTTCCTCTCTGAAAAAAAAAGTCAATAAAATATATATATTTTTAAAATCACAGTAGTGAATATAAATTGAATAAATAATTCCAATGGAAGTCCTAATATATATGAAAGTCTCCTTAATCACTGTGTGTGCAATTAGAATCTTAAAAAATATAGCTTTTGGGAACATTGATATCATGTAAAATCCTGTTATAATGGGTAAATTCTGTATAGTAAAATTACAATTATAATATGTTTCTCTGACAATAAATGATCTCTTATAATAAATGTTTTCTTTGACTAAAGTATATATGAAAGACTTTCTATTATGATTACATCTGTTTTTTAAAAAGTAACAAACTTGATTGTTTAGAGCAGTTTTAGGCTTATGGCAAAATTTTGCAGAAAATAGAGTTATTGCCCTGAACTCCACAAACATAACCTCCCCCATTATCAACATCCTTCACCAGAGTAGTGCATTTTTACAGTCTTTGAACCTACACTGACACATCATTATCACCCAAAGTCTATAATTTACATTGGGGTTCACTTCTGGTCTTGTACATTCATTCTATGGGTTTTGACAATAAATGCCATTTTAAAACAAGTTTCTCATAAAGCTGTGTTTTTCCATTAAGTAATTATTGCCATTCAGTTTTACTTTCAATCTCGATGTCAGGTTTTTCCTTTAATCTGAAGTTCCTAATTGATTCTCTCTCTCCCTCTCTCCCTCTCTCCTCCTCTCTCTCCTTCTCTTTCCCTGTCTCTCCTTCCTCCCCCAAATAGTTGTTTTCTACTTAGTGTGGTTGGAGTATTTTTATTTTAATTCAGTAATTAATTGGTAATGTTACAAAATGTGGATTAGAACTGCACCCTTGCCAAAAGATAGAGGAGTTAAGGTTCAAATGTTATTTTCAAACTAGTGGCCCAGTGCATGAAATTTGTGCGCTCGGTGGTAGGGGTCCCTCAGCCTGGCCTGTGCCTGTCACAGTACGGGAGCCCCCCACCATCCATTGCACCAAAGATGTAGGCCCTGCCCACCCATCTGGTGCTCCTCGATGGATTGCCCCCAAGAGGTAGGCCGGAGCTGGGGGCCCCGCCTCTGTGCCGCTCAGGACCCCCAAATCTTGCAGTGTGGAGGCCTCCGGACCCGTAGCTCAGGCCCGCAGGGGCCTTCGCCAGGCACCAGGCTTCCTGGTGATGGATTGTGACAGTGTGATGCAAGTCCCCGCCCACCTGCTCCTGCTGCGCATGCAGTCTTCTGATAGGTTGTTAACATGTGAGGCATCCCGACCATTTGCATATTACCCTTTTATTACTGTAGATAGATATGCACGAAACAAAGGCTTTAAATTCTTTGTCATCTCTGGCCTTAAATGCTTGGAGTCAGGTTTTAAACAAGCTGTTTATTTTAATAAACATGTCAAAATCTATATATTTGGCATGCGTATTTGAAATGCAACAGAGCATTCATTATTGATAATTTTTGACAATTTCTTTAAATTTATTTTAAGTAGTTAGTTAGCTAGTAGTGATTTCTGTTTTAGCAAATAAAACTTACATAAAGTACAGTCGCGTAGCTAAGGTTTGTTACTTGGATTTAGATCTAGCACAGTTCAAATGACTTGTCTGGTTGCTTGACATCTGGTTGCTAGAAAAGCCTCCTGTAATAGTTTCTATGTGGTGTGACTATTGTCATTCTTGTTTCCTTTTCTTTGCTGGCCCACTCCTATTCCAGCCCTGCCGCATTAATAAAGTATTAAGTAGCAAAGGAGATTATCTACTGCTGATTAAGTAACATTGAATAAAAACAGGTGTTTGTGGAATGGAAAGATAAGAAAACTGAATCTTTACTGTGATAAGAAGTTGATATGCCATTCTCAGTTCATGTAATTAGATGTTTTGGAAAGGAAATTGGGATTGTATGACAGGAGTCAAGGAAGTTATTAAGCAGCCTCTGTGAAAACTTGATTGCCTTTGTGCTCTGCCTAACAATGTCTATGTTGTTCACAGTAACTGTAGTACTGAATGGAAGTGGCTTGTAGACAGAGCAAGAGTTGGCAGCCGATGGACGTGGCTTCAAGCCCAGATTTCAGAGCTGGAATACAAAATCCAACAACTAACGGATATTCACAGGCAGATTCGTGTCTCCAAGGTATTTTCTGTGTTCTATTTTACTGATTTAGTTTGTCCTCCTCTCTCCACACAAAATAATTGTTATAGGTTTTACAAAAATTTAGTTAAGATTTTTTATATATTAATTGCTTTAAATTGAAGCTATCTTTGTAATGCCTTTGTATTTATTGAGACCATTTTACCATATTTAAGCAATTCTGAACTCTGTTGGATTCCAGTTAATAGAAAATGATATACATTTTTATAAACTTCTATTTTGTTGCCATGTATTTATTATATGTAACAAATATTGAATATGTATCTTACTGAAATCTCCTTAGAGTTTTCTGTTTTATTAAGTTTATAAAACAAAGTATTGCAGAAAGAAATACCTATCCTCAAATTTATCAAATATTAAGTTTTTGCCAGAATGCATCTAGTTTCTAGAATAAGAAGCATTATCTGTGCAATCGAAGTAGTTGTATGGCCCTGCAGCCCATTCTCTAACCCCCATACCACTGTAACCACTATTCTGACTCCAACATTTTTTATATTTATTGTTTTTATGTATTTTTATTTAATAAATATATTGGGGTGACATCAGTTAACAAAATTATGTTATGTATATTTTATACTATTGGCAGATAGGTGTCTGTGTCAACAAATAATATTTTCTATTCTTTTGACGTCTGTATAAATGATGCTACAAACTACTTTGCAACTTGCTTGTTTTTGCTCAGCATACTATTTATGCATTTTTATACTTCCAGTATGTTGTTATATGATTAGAATAGAATTGTATGAATACAATGAAATGTTTATCTCCACTCCTATTTTCTTTTGATAGTGTTTCTATTTTTATGCCAGTAAAAATTATACTGCAGTGATTATCTTTTATGTTTCTGTGAGCCTGTGGAGAGCTTCTCTTGGCTACATGTCTAAAAATGGAGGTGCTGGGTGTTGGGCATGATGTCTTCAGTTTTCTTATACTCACTGATGTTCCTGGATAATCAGTATTCCCACTGGCAGTGCATACGAGCTCCTGTTTCTCTACATTCTTGCCTACATTTTATATGTTTTTACCTCCAGCATAATGGGTGTGAAGTATTATTTTATTGCTGTTTTAATTTGTTACTGAATGTTGTGAGATTGGCCCTTGCTGTAATTAATTATCCAGTTTTTGTTTTTGTTTTCTGTCTAAGAGTTAGTTTATCTTTTTTATTCTTTTTGGGTGGTGGTGGTGGTATGTGCTTGAGAATTTGGATACTATTCTTGGTCAGTTGTAAATATTACAGATCTCGTAGGATTTACAGTCTACGGGAATACAGATTAAGCAAATTATTACACAAATAAATGCTGTTTTAATTCCAACCAGGGGAAATTTAACATGGGATTTCCCTAGCTTAAAGATATATTGTTTCCCTAAAATTGTAGCGTGTTTGCTTGGAAATAGTATATTTTCCCATAGAAGCAATAGCAAAAAGAGTTCTACTGCAATCCCATGAAGTCTAATTTGATATAAATATTGCTAATATCTCTATGACTTTTTTTGTGGGAAATTGTATTTATCATGGTGAAAATGTGGAGATAATGTAATGGAGGGGATGGATATTGGTGATTGGTTTGAAAACAAAAAGCTGTGAAGGGAGGATTTCTGGAACCATGTGGTTAGCCCAGCCCACTGGGGGTCTGCACATAAATAAAGATTAATGAGTTTTAGGCTCTGTCTGTCATGAGTTTATATTTTGGTAGGAGCGATAGACCATGTATATAGTTGCACTATGATGTAATACATATGTGCAATGACACTTGTTTTTAATGACATATAGAAGTGGCATAGAGAGAACCCTTATTTTAGGGGTTAACATGTGGGTCAGAGAAGACATCAATAAAGAGATGATGCCTCAGGATGACTTTGGGGAATAAATAGTACTTTGCTTGATGAAAAAATAGAACTAGAAATTAGGAAAGGGCATTTCTTAAAGGTTTGAAGTCAAGAAACAACGTGATCTTTTTTATGTATAACAAAATATTTTATTATGGTATTCAAAGGAGTAGAAAGTATGGGTTGTGCAAGGACAGGAGAGAAAGGTAGAGAGTCATCAATATGATGGTGACGTCTATAGGAAGATGTATGGAAAGACAGAAATAAAACCTTAGGCTTACTGGTTCTCTCTGTTGCATTTGAGGGAACTGTGTTCCAGAATAGTTTCTTGATGGAAGTTTCCTATTCAGTTACTGTAGTGACTGTTTCTTATTTTAAACCTGTTTTCACCAGGGCTACCTTCAGTTGTAGTGATTTTCCAGTCCTTTCAAAATCACCAAATAATCTCTCCTCTTATAGCAAAAAGAGTAGTAAGCATGAGTCAGGATTAAAACAATTTACAAATTCCCAAGAAAGTGGGTTTCAGCTAAATTGTATGTTTTATATTTTAATCTAGACAGTCTAGTTCATATTGCTTTGACTTGGGAAAATATGTTTTAATATTTTGTCTGTTCTAAGCAGTGCTGTATAATTGTTAAACATTTTTAAAAGTTTGATTATATGTTTATATTTTTTAAACAAGTTATTTTCAGGAAAAAAATTTAAACCTCCCAGTAATAATTTATATGGCCTCATATAAATTATTACTTACATTTGTCTTGGTGTAGGGTGAGACTAGATGTATATGTGACCCTTTGTTCCCTTAAGAATCACATTACATTTGTTTTATGGAAAATGTCATTAATATTATGCTATCAAAATATATTTATTTAGTTTGATAGTTTATCCTTAAATTTCTTAGGAATTAATATGTTTAATTGCTTATTTATCTGCAATTTAGTTGAATTGTTACTAAATAGGAAAACAAGAACTTTCTTTGTTTTTACAGATTCTTGGGTTATTATAAGAAAAAAGCATTGAGAAGAGTGGTTATGTTGAGTGAGACAGAATTTTTCTGTTTAATGTATCTTGAAAGGAAAGGAAAGCAAATCCTTTCTTCTAGGCTAAGTTAGAGATAAGGGGAAGGGGAAGAGATGAGAGATGCTCTTTTGTAAATCGTCTGTTTAAATCAGTGCCAGTTTGTGACTGGTCAGGAAACACAGCCTCGGTCCACTGGGAAATCTACAAGTGCAGTTGTTGAAGCTGTCGTTGGCCCTGTCTTTGACACCTTCCAGATGGCCTCCATTTTTAGAGAGAAGAAAGCAGATGCTAACTATCTCTTCCTTGTTCTTGTAGTAGCTTTATAACACAGTATAACTTTCATATTTCTTCTTTTCTCTGCTTCAGCTTTTCTCTGGCTATGGTTTCTCTTTTTAAATTTTTGTTTTGTTATCCTGTAATAAGACCTTCCACATTTTAAATTATACATTCCTTATGTTTAAATTTTCATTTAAGATTTTTGCTTAAAATTTGCTCGGTGACTATATAAGTAATAAAGATGTTGCTAAGACAGCTTATTTTTTCACGCTATGTTTTCTCTATGAGGACCTGGGAGTGGGGTGGGGATCTCTCCAGTGTTGTTATCAGAAACAGTGTCTCCTCTAGAGCAGTTGATTTGCTTTCATCTCAGGCTGGAGTTTTCACTTGTCTCAATTCGTTATTCTAATATTCTTTATATTTTTGTTATTGCCTCGTTTTATGTATGACATACTATTCCTGATTTTTTAAAATGCAGGTTTATTGAGGTATATAGTTGACAAATAAAATGATAACATATTTAAAGTGTACATCATTATGACCCAACACCCAAATGTCCTTTTTCTGAATTTTAAGAACAGAAACTATCTCTGCAGTGACTTCTTGGCCACGGCAGAGAAAAATCATGTCCATTCTTCTCACACTATGAGAGTTATGACCAGAGAAACAGTTTAAGAAAAAAAAAAAAAGGTTATGAAGTTGACTATGATTGTCTCCCCAGTTAAATTTTTAAAGTATTCTTCTTCATTGAATTAATTATGGTAGGCCCCCTGCCATATAAAAAGATAGTATCCTAAGGTTTATAAGTTGAGCTTCTGAACTTCAGAATCAATTTATGTTTAGAAACAATATTATAAGTAGGAGTTATGAAATCAGGCTAATTCAGAGCATCCTGGCCCATACTATAAACTGTAATCAAAACAGAATTATAGTTAAATAGGTGGAAACTTGTATTTCTTTTGCATGAAGAATTTGTGAAAAACCTAGTAAGAGACTTGTACAGTTTTTGAATGGACATCTCAGATATTTGAAAGAGTTTTTGTGATTGATGACACTATATTTATCAAGACTAATTTGGTTTTTAAAAATGTCAAAACAGAAACTTCTTTTCAATATATTTCTTCAGATTTTTTGACAGCCATATTTGTGCATACTAGAAAAATAGTCATTGAAATGGGATAAAAAAATTAGATTATCTTGCCCTGGCTGCTATGTCTTAAGTGGTTAGAGTGTCAGTCTGCACACCAAAGGGTGCGATTTTAATTTAGGTTAAGGGCACATACCCAGTTGGGGCACAGATGAATGTGTCTTTTTCACCTTGATTTCTCTTTCTCTCTCTCTCTCTCTCCCCTCCCCTTTTTTTCCCTCTCCTCCTCCCTCCCTCTTACTCTCTAAAAAGCAGAGGAAAAAATATCATCAGGTGAGCATTTGAAAAAAAAAATTGGATCCTCTTTTCTTGATAAAGTTACTAGCATTGTTGTTAAATAAAGGTAAAAAGAATAATTTTTACTTTTACCAAACATCAAGATAATATATTTCTACAAAATTATACAATATATGTTTAATAGCATAACTGACCATGGTCATTGTAAAATTTTAGATTCCCTAAATAAACTAAAATTACTCATATATTGCATATTTTATTCTGCTGGATGCCTGATACATGAAATTCTTGCGAGGGGCCTGGCCCTGCAGCCGCAGTGCTTGCTTGGCCCTCACAGCCCCGGCTTTGTCCAGAGGGCCATCCGGAGTGTCGTTCGGCTGTCTGATCTAATTAGCATATTATGCTTTTATTACTATAGATAGGCAGTTTTCATCCTATAAATAGCATTTATAAATGATGTAAGCTGACCCACAGCAGTCATTTAATTAGTTCCATCTTGAAATACTATAACATATTAATGTTTTAGTCTATATTTCATGACAAGAATATAATATTTTAACCACATTAGGTACTTAATACCTCTTCAGCTAGTTTGTAGGGGCTTCTTGGCATCTTGCAAAAATCTACATTTACATATATATTATATGATAACATGTATTATTCTTTACAGGGGTAAAAGGGTAGAAAGGGAAAAAGTTTTGCAGTGAGAAAGGATTATGACATCATTAAGATCATATCTGTGCACTCCTTTTCCTCCTTTCTTTCCTGTTTCCCTGGCCTCGGAGAGACCTAGGTGGTAGTAGTTGGAGTGAGGCAGCCAGGAAAGTGGGAGAAAGTGTAGCAAGCTATTCAAAGACAAAGCACAAGCGTGTGGCTGGAAGTGCAGAGGAAGCTAGGTCCCTACATATTCTGCTTACTTACATTTCAGAAAAGACTCCATCACATTTGAAGGCTTGTGTCTTTATTATTAACTCACCTACCCTGTAAACAACAAGAGCTTTGATTGGCCTGGCGAGTACTTTCTCAAGGGTGCAGTCCTGGCGCTTGTCCTTACAGACTCTGAAAAGTGTTAATATAATAGATTGTAGTTTGGATGTTATAAGTTTGGCATTTTAATTTATGAAATTGGGAGTACACAAAGATAAAACTCAAATGGAAATGCTAGTGACTAAAAATACAAGATTAAATCAGGAAATGTTCTAAATTTCAGTCTGAAATGTTCATAACCTGCTTGTAAGCTTCTAACTTTACTCTAAATGTGTCATGCTTTTAATACTAATAACTTTAATACCAATAGAAGACAAAAATGCTGCATGTATATAATTTATGACAATATTTTATAAAGCCTGATCCATCAGACATACATGTTATTTTAGCTACACATGTTTTAAATCAGCCAGTATTTTAAACTACCAAGTGTGTATTTTCTGATTTCCAAGGGGTAAAAAGAAGCATGGTTTCAAGTGTATTATAACATTAAGGTTAATTTAACAGTCAATTTTGTTTTCATTTAATCTCTTTAATTGATGTTTAACTAGGGGATAGTGATCCTAGAAGAATGCCAACTTCCAAAAGACAATTTGAAAAAGCAAATACAATTTGCAGACCAAGCAGCTGCATTAAATATTACAGGGAATCCTCAGATTCCCCAAGAGAGTCAAGATCCTTTACCAGAACAAGACTTTGAAATGTCACCAAGTAGCCCTACACTGCTTCTTCGCAACATAGAAAAACAGGTAAGTAATGAGAAAAGGACAGTGTGAGTGACATGAAGATAAATGTGTCTTTTTGGGTTATGGTTATTAAAGTTGGCAATCTGACATTAGTAAAATGAAAATAGTATATGACTAGTCCCTATTATAATAATGATGTAATTATGATTATTTAAATATAAGGTATGAAATAAATATAAGGTATGAAATAAATATAAGGTATAATATAAGGTATTGATTAGTACAGAGCCTTAGGATGATCATTCATTTACACTCGTTAGAAAATCTTTCTTCAAACAAAATTGCTTATCATTGGACTTTTTTCACAGGATTAGAACACTGGTACCACCTAATAGATCTGAAATGATTATTTGAATAATATATTGATAGATATTTTTAGTGAAAGGTAAAACTGGAATATGGATTCTTTAATAAAAAGGATTGTGTAAATAGAAAGTCGAGTAAGTCCCTAATAAATTTTTACTCTCCCAAACATGGACTCAAGCAAATGAGACTTGATTGGCTGAAGTGGGCTGGCTGTTAGAGAAAAGACTAGGTATGCAGACATACCTGACCAAAGACCTCCAGTGGCTTACAGTATTTTAGGTGATATTTTGGAGGTGGATAAAGAGAAGAGTGTGTCAGTGTTTCAGATGGAAAAATAGATACTCTGTACATTTATTTTCATGAATAAATTAGTAAATTCTTTATCACTGGATAAAGAATCTCTTTGTATTGGTGATTTTGAAAATGAGCTTTAATCTAAAAAGTATAATAATTTTAAAAATAAAGACATTAGTTTTATATTTATTAAGAAAATAAATGGTGAAAACATTTCAGTTTTTTTTAATAAAAGATTTTTGAAGTATTAAAATTTTAGATTTAGTTTCATCATATTCTTTAGTCTCATTTCTAATAGCACATTATTAGTTTCATACAAATGAAGTTTCAAAATAATTTCATATATCCCTTTATTTTATAATAGCATATCTTACAATTAATAAAATGTAGTCACATGATATTAAGTCAGAAAACCAAGTCTTAGAAAGTTGATGTGGCATGATTAATTAAAAAGGTGTGTGTGTGTGTGTGTGTGTGTGCGCACATGTTGTATATACACAAATGCTCATGTATGCTCAAAAAATTCAGTATATATATATATATACACGCACGCACACACACACACACACACACACACTGTATGTGTGTGTGTGTGTATAGATAGATAGGTAGATACTAACAATGGTTTTCTGTGTGAAATATTATTACAGGTGATTTTCTTTTCCTAGTAAACTTATCTGTACTTTTTTTTTTCTATAATGAACACATTACATATGTAATGAAAATAATTGCCATTCTTTTATAGAAATGTACTGTTTTCAGTGCTGTAGTCTATGTTTATTATACTTGTTTTAGATTATTGTTTTGAGAATGATTTGATATTTATTATACATTATAAATATATATATTTAAGTTTTGGATGAGGGGGCAATAAAATTTTTGATACCCTCAAAACTGATATTTTTGAATTAGGAAAAATATTAAGAAGCAGTTGTGGCATGAAATTAAAACCTGAATTTGAATTATAGCTTCATTTCTTACCAACTATAAACCTTGGTCAAGCAGGTTAAACTATTTTACTACATGTAACATCAATTACAGAGGGGGAAATTTGTTTTTTCCTCTGTAATTGATGTTATACTAGTATGTAGTAAAATCATATTATCTACTTTACAGATTAGTTGTAACAATTAGAAATATTCTCATGCCTAGAATAGTGTCAGGCACATACTACACATTTAATAAATCATAGCTATGATTGTTAATTTGGCTAGCTTAGGAATTATTATATAGACTCTGTTACCTGAATTCAAATGTTTTAGAAGATAGGATAAATAGATAAAGGAACTGTAACAAAGGAAGGACATGAAAAAGAAGGAGTACTCTAAAATGTAAATTTACTTATATGAAATAGAATATTAGTAGTGGTCTAATCATCTTAGATTTGTAGTTTAAAATATATGTAGCAGGGATGAGCAAACATAGATTTACAGTTGTTTCTATAGAAAATAATACAATAATTATAAATAATAATACAAGAATAAAGTCTGGGGGGGAGATAAGAGTATAACCAATGGACACATAACTCTGGGGAGGGAGGGTATGTATGAGAGGGGGGGCAATGTTAAAATATGTACACAGATAATGATTTAATAATAATAAAAAAGAATAAAGTTTTGTATACTCACAACTGTAAACCTACTTTTGCCTGTCTGTATTATTTACTAAAAACATATTTGTTTCCTGAGAAATTAAGCATTTAATAGATACTGAAGACCTGAGATTTCACTCACTGTTTGCTTAGCAGTTGACTGTTTTCTTGCAGAGTGCACAGTTGACTGAGATCATCAACAGTTTGATTGCCCCTCTCAACATGTCCCCAACTTCATCACCCCTCTCCGCCAAGTCCTGTGCCCATAAATGTCGGGCTAATGGCATTTCCAGGAGGTAAGTAACAATGAGATCATTTGGCTTCTAAGTTTGGCTTTGATAGTTTTATTTTTTAAGTATTACAGCTGCTTTTTTTTCTCCTTAAGCACTATGGAAGTACAGTGAATAGATCATGGGTACGTTTTTGGAAAATCAAACTTAGATAGGTAGGGTAGCTACAAGTCTCAGAATAATAGAGAGCTTTCCGGGAAGTTTTCTGAGAGTGGTAAAAAATGACAAACAGTTATACTGTTTGCTACAGACTATTGCTTTATTTAATACATTTTCTATCCTGTACACATTTTATATCCTTAAGCTCACACTTACCTTGAAATACATTTTAAGGAAAAAGACCCTTGATACAGATTTGGGCACAGAAGATTGATAAACATTATTCATAAAATTCAGTTAAGTCATTTTGTGTCTCAGTGTTATAAGGTAGATGTTTTCTGGATATAATTAATATGACCCTATAATCATTAAATAATTAGCAATTTATTATGTTATATCTGTAATTTTTTTTGAAACCTAATCCATTTTTGGGAACAGCATTTTTTCTCTTTTATTTTGCTTGCTTCTCTCTGATTTTTTTCTTTCAGAGATGTAATTAGAATTAAAGATGTTAATAGAATATAATTTTGTGGCTGCATCTAATTTTTCTCCAATAAAATTGTAATGTACTATAGAGGACTAAGTGTATATGTAATTATGTGGTTTATTATTAAAAAATTTTAATATAGCTTGAAAGGAAAATTTATATGATTGTGAAAATTATATGAATAGCCATCGCGTTCTTAATGAGATTGTTGGATATAAAACCAGTCTTAAAATAAAAATACTGTTATTTGATTTCTAGTTTGAACTTGTTATTTTGCAAGTCTAATTTTTAATACTTTTTATGGTTTTATTTATGCTGGGTCATTTAGCCATTGTTTTGTTAAGGAAACAGTTCTTTTTCTTACTGGTTTTGCTTTATTATTTTTTGACTATATTCCTTGTATCACTGATGATTCACTTTGTAAGTTAAAAGTCTCACATGTTATATATAGGACAATTCTGATATATTTATGAGAACATATCTTAATTAAGAAATTATAATTAAAAGTTGAGCCATTAACACCATCAAATTGA